GAGGTTGCTGTGAGTGAGGCTGACGCCACGGCACTCTAGCCCGGGCGACAGAGTGAGACTCTTTGTGTCAAAAAAAAAAAAAAACAGAACAGGATGAGCGAGAGCGTGTGCTGGCTGAGTGGGCGCGTCCGCGAGTGACTTGTTAGAAGCCCCCAGAGGTGGGGACGCATCCAAGGCGGCGGCAGCAAGAATCTGCCCGGGACTCTACCCCGCGGCGGGGCTTTGTCCGTCTGTGCCGGGGCTCTGGGGACTCCAGCGCCGTCCCGCCGGGTCCGCCCACCGAGCCCTCCCTTGCAGGGGGAAGGCCGGCGACAGCCGCAGCCCCGCCAGGTGGGCGTCCTCGCTGGCCGACTGCCCGCTGGTGCTGCGGCGGCTGCTGCGCGGGGAGGACGCGCGGGCCGGCTGCAAGTGCGTGCTGAAGGCGCCCCTGGTCTCCGACGTGGAGCTGGAGCGCTTCCTGTCGGCGCCGCGGGAGCCCAGCCAGGTGCTGGTGTTCGGCGTCGTCTCCAGCCGGAGCCCCCGCCACAGCGCGCAGCTGCAGTGGCTGCTGGACTCGCTCTACGGCCGCCGGCAGCAGGGCCGCGCCTCGCCCTGCATCCAGGTGGGTCTGGGGGACGCCGCGTGCCGGGCTTGGCTGGGCCTCTGCGCTGGGGCTCTGCACGCCCCGCCCGCCGCACGGTGACGCGCTCCGTCCCGGCCACGCCCGCGGGGACCGTGCGAGCAGAGGTGGCCGCCCCAAAGGCCGCCGGGGGCCCCGCCAGTCATGGCTGGAGTCTAAACGAAGCTGCGGCCCGAGGGCCGGGCAGCCTGGTGGAGCCCAGCCCCAGCGCCTTGCCTGCGCCCGCCGGCGCGTTTGCGGTCCCTGCCCGCGGCGGGGCCCCGTGGCCAGCGCAGCCGTGCGCTGGGCGTCTACGCGGCGGCTTTCTCCTTTGCCCGGCTAATCCGTCGTCTTCGCCCCGTTTGCCTTTCGCCGCTGCGGAGCTCCGGGTTTTCATGGTCCGCTGGGCGGGGGTCTCCGTGGACGCCTCCCTGCCCCGCGCGCCCACCCGCGTCCCCGCCAGGCCAGGGCCCAGCGCCGGAGCCCTTCTGAGCAGACGCAGGCCTGGTCACCGGCCCGCACGTCCAAGCCACGCTGTTCCCTCGAGTCACCTGGCAGCGTAGTCGGATTCAGCGAGCGTCTGCGCAGGGAGAGGCACGAATCTGCCCGCCTGGAGCTGTTCGCTGTTCGCTGTTCACCGATGATCGTCCCTCAGCAGCCAAGGTGTCCCGGCCCGGCCGCGGGCAGCAGGAGCGAGGATGGGCCTGGCCGGAGGTGGCTGGCGTCCCCGACCGCGCGGGCCTCGGGTCTGGAGGACAGACGTGGACGGTCCTGCCGGGTTCACGGTGGCTCAGCCTCCGCCATCGGGGCGTCTGCGGCTAACGCGGGAGCGCTCCCTGACGTCCCGACAGCTGGGACGCCGCGTGCTCCCGGTCCCCCGGGTGATCGGAGGCGGCTGGGACCAGGAGGTGACACCTGGGCTGCATCAACGGATGCGCAGGACCCAGAAAGGAGGAGGGGGGACCAGCCGCTACCTCGAGGCGTGGGTTCCACTCAGGTCCTCGCTGGGCTTGACGAGGGCAGGGTCCAGCGGGGTGGGGGGCGGGGTTCCTCGTGCTGCGGGAAGGAGACTGGAAACAGGCTCCCCGGGAGCGGGGCCGCGGGGCTCTCCCAGGGCGAGGAGCAGCCACGCTCCGCACCCCCAGGACCCGGCCAGCGCATGTCCCCGGTGGGGTGCAGTCACCTCCGCGACGGCCGTCCCCGCCAGGGCTCTGAGCAGACCGGGACGTGCTCTGGGGACAGTCGTGGGCGGGGCACGCAGGGCCGACAGGGCCGGAGCAGGAGCTGGGGGCTCCAGGACTCGGGACCGGCTGACGGCGCTGCCGTCGGGGGCAGCTTCCTGCCACGGGGTGACCGCCCTCCCGCTCCGCCCTGCAGTGCCGGCACGACCCCTACCGCCTGCTGCGCT